CCCCTGTTCAGAGAAGCCGAGTCTACCCTCCTGCGGCCGCCCGTCCCCGGCGCCCAGGCAGATAGGCCTGCTGCAGCCGGTCGGCCGTACTGTCCCCTGCGTGTGCCCGGGCGCACACAGTGCCCTCACCTTGGACAGCTGCCCCCACTGCTCTGAACCACGCAGCGCAGTGATCTGCCCAGCGGTGCTTCCGCCGTGATTCTGAGGGCGCCTCGAGGTCCGCGTGTCGGGGCTTCTCAAACTGCTTTAGCACCAGCGCTCACCGACACTGACACAATGGGACGGATGAGAAGGGGGAGCTCTGCCCGAGGCAGGCTGGGGAGTGAGGCAGAATCCCACGGCCGCCCTCGGCATTGCCAAGGAAGCCGAGGGCTCCCTGGACACCGGGCCGGCCAGCCCCCTGAGCCCGGTGGACAGGGGGCCCCAGTGGAGACACCTGCTGGTCTGTGGGAGAAGCGTTCTGCCGGCTCTGGGCGGCCGTGAACCCGGCTGCCTCGGGGACGCCCTGAGCCACAGTGACGGACCGTGTCTGCCTTGCAGATCAGGCAGCGGCTACGTGAAAGCCGGACGGATTCGCAGGGGCCTGACTCGGGGAGATAGCGGAGGGAGGGGCTGCGTGAGCAGGGGCCCAGAGACGGGGGACACCGTGGCCTGGGTGGGGGGCTGCAGGCGAGCGCCTCGGCCGCAGTGCTGGGGCCTCCGGTGCTGCTCCTGGGCGGGCAGGGGGCAGATCGGCAAGGTCTTGAGTGCCGAGCTCAGCACAACGGCCTTGCCCCTGTTGGTAGCAGGGAGCCGAGGCAGGTGCTTGAGCAGGGGGGTGCGCGACTCGAAGCTGCAGTCAGGCGAGCACCCCGTCACCCCATCACCTCTCACCCCCAGGCTTCCAGGTGCGTCCCGCCTGCGGCCAAGTATACAGCTTCTTCCATTGTGCGGACCCCTCGGCTTCACGGCTGGAGCCCCTGCTGGAGCCCAAGTTCCACCTGGTGCCGCCCGTCAGCGTGCCCCGCTACCAGAGGTTCCCGCTGGGCGATGGACAGTCCCTGCTCCTGGGTAGGCCCGTGGGGGTGTGAGGGTGTGCTGCGCCCGGGGCCGGGTCCCGCAGGAGCTGAAGGAGGCACGAGCCCCCACGGAGCAGGGTCTGCGAGCTCCGACCGAGCTGAAGCCAGGGAAGCAGCCGCCTCCCCTGTCTTCCCAGCATCCCATCGCATGCGCACCTGCTCCGCGGGAGGCGCCTGGGGGCTCCAGGCTCTGCCCCCGACGGCTTCCTGTGGCTGGCACCAACACAGTGCCCGAGCCGCCAGACCTGGCTGCAAGTCCAGGGGCCCACACTGGGTGCTGACTGGAGGGCAGGGCACGGAGTGTCCCCACCCGGTGGGCATCACGGAAGACAGGGCCTTGGACATGGCGTTGGGACAGGTGGGGATGACCTGGAGGATGGGGGTCCAGGGGAACTTTGCAGGGGGAGCAAGGGCGGGGGGCGTGGGGGAGGGCCAGCCTCCGGGGCGCGAGTGGAGTGGGCCAGGCATGGACAAGGGGAGGCCCACGACGGGTGGTCAGGGCTAGGAGACTAGGGCCTCGGCTCCGTATCCCCGCTGAGGAAGTCTGGCCAGAGCCTGCTCAGAGCTTTGGGGCAGATTGGGCGGAGGGTGCAGTGCCTGTGGCTCGTTCGGGATTAAAAACCAGCCCCGCCCCCCCAATTTTTAACAGAAACTTAATTTCCAAAGTCCTACTTTCCAAGAGCTTCCACAGACAGAAATGGCTCTGAACATTCCCCCCGCGCACCCTAAAACGCCCTGGCCCCAGAGAGCACCTTAGCCCCCAGGCTGGAGTGCCGTTCACACGCAGGCTCGGCCTCAGTCCTCCATGGCTCAGGGGGGAGTTGAACGAGAGCACGTGGTCACGTGGCTCAGGGGG